GAAAAAATATCAACTCTTTTTTAGCTAACATCTCCTAGCCACCGCAGCGCCAAATGAATACATTCTTCACAGGCGCACGCTATTCCCGCTGTTCCCACTGTTCCCGACATGTGCCACCGTGGTGTCCCTAAAAAGAGACTACGGAAAACAAAACGATTAAATAAAATTTTGTTCTATTAGTCTACGGGACTTCTGAACCCGTGCTTTGCAGCAACATTTCTTTAAGCGAATGAGGTTTCATTTTTAACTTCAAAATGTTTCCTAAGCAATGTTTTGCAATATATGTTTAAGCCACTAAATGTGAAGAGTGTGACGGATCCTTTGTGAGGGCCTGCAACGGACACAGCGAGCGATTCCACGTCGAACTGATGAGGCCTCGTCACCACGGTCGTCACCGCTGCTCTGGAGGCCCCGGCGGAAAGAGGGGAAGTAAATATGTATGTTGTGGAACTTCTTTCGCACCGTACATAGCCAACCGTGCTAATCGGAGGTGCGGGGGAAGGACAACAAACTAAACACTAAAAGCAGCTCAACGAAAATACGTTTTCCAAATAGATTTTAAAAGTGTTTAGATCCCGTAGCTTCCTAATATCAGAAGGGAGAGCGTTCCAGACGGCCGCAGAAGCCCATCTGAAAGCGCGCGATGCGGTGACCACCGTCTTTGTCCGATGGTTCGCCAAAAGCCGCTGCTGTGAGGATGACCGGTGTTCGCGTGACGGTTCACGCTCCTTGGCGAGATCAGCGAGGTATTGTGGCTCAAATGTGGCGAGCTCTTTGGGTGTAACGAGTGCGACCTTACAATCGTTCGGCAACCGGGAGCCAATGCAGGGAAGTGTGAACGTCGGAACGACAGGACGAGGCAGTGGATTAGAGACCACGGCACCGCACGCGACGCCGCCGCAATCCTCGCCGTTTGCCGTCGCCGATCGCAATCTTTGCCCGCTCTTTGCTCTCTGTGCCCTTCTTGCCGTTGATCAGTAACAAGGCTTAGGGGGAAACCAGAGCAGATAGGAGCAGCACATGGCCCGCCGCATTTTGTTCCGTGTTTTCCTGCCCAGGTCCTATCCATTGAGCCTAGAGCACGTGGGAAAACAGCACCCCGGTTTCCGCACGTACGTTCCGCGCGCCGTGTGGACGCACGCAACAGCTTTTCGACTTGTGCACAGTATGTCAACCAATTTGCACTGCAATGAGAATATAATCAATCTGTCCACATCTCTTGATAACGGTGCCGGACGTGCAGCGATGGTTGTAAATGGTGCATTTTACTTAGTTTACATAGTTTATCGAGAAGGGAAGAAGAGAAGCCATATTTTGTTAGACAAAGTACGGACAATAACCTTCCAAATTACACCCCATATTCTTTCAACTTTAAAAAAACCCAGGGTCTTCACGGCGTTGGCATATTGGCCGTGTTTTACCCAATTTAGCCGAGCATTGAGCCACTCAAAAGCTTCACACACGTACCACGGCCAAGCAATGGGGTTTCCTGTCTCTGCGAATTTTGTAAGAATATTTGGAATAACAACCACCAATAAATTGCCAGGTCAGCAACGATGAGGAGTGACATCACCAACCGCTTATATTGTCGAACCTCTTCATGTGCCGTGCCCTCTCTCAAAGACGTCAGCGATCGTGGTCTCCATTTAGCTCCATCCAAGATAAATTACATTATATATATTCTTAGTTCTTTCGGTAAAGTCACGTTGAAGGGAAACAACAAAATAATAAAATATATATTATTATTTTATTTTGTTGTTTCCCTTCAACGTGACTTTACCGAAAGAACTAAGAATATGAATTACTGCAGTCACGAAAGCTTTAAATCATATATTACATTACTCATTTTTGCTCATAAGACCCCACACGTTGTCTCACTTTTCAATGAGAAGGTACATAATTATTCATATATTCTACTTCGTTATTCACAGTGCCCTAAATGCATTTACATACGTAACTTATGGAGTTGTAAACATTTGCCATGGTGGTCCTGTAAAACTTTTCACCCGTCCAATAAATGTTATTTCTTATTCAAAGAGTGCTTATTTCTGCAAAACAAAATCAAGGTGCAAATACAACGAATGTGTAATTTTCTGTCCATTAAGCCGAGTTCAAATTGGCCCATTGTTTATTATTTAATGATATGAAATTGTTTCATCACCACTGCTGCGTCAAGGCCTTCCCAAGCAGTTGCAACGATCAATGGGCACCTGTGCACGAGCTTATTTCATCGCTCCATCTCCAAGGCGCGCGTTCCCTGTCGTGCGCGTTTCTCTCCTTTGGTTGCAACTCCATCGTTGGTCTCGACCAGAATCAGAATTTGTATTTATACTGGAGAAATCCGATGAGCTATAAAGCTCTTTTTCACAGATGTCCAGTCGGGGCAGGTCAAAACGTCACGACGAAAACAAACAATACAAAGATATGATAGAGGTTGCAACTGAATACAGTAATCATTCTGCGGAGCTTCTTAAACCATAAATTAATGAGTGACGACCGCACTGGCTACCCGCTTACCGGTGAGCTCTGCGTTCACCCTCGTCACTATCTGGTGTCCGCTTTCAATCGGCAACGATGACCATATACAACTGTGAGTGAAACCGTGCAGTCTCCTACGTCTCACCCCATGGTCCCGTGAACCCAAGGGACCACTTCCAACGCGGGCGCCAGCAACGGCGCTCTCGCCGATAACGTGCGTATCGACGCGTTTTTACTGTTTCCTTGTAACACCACCGACCGGCAGTAAAATAGGATTCCAATGAAATATTTGCAACCCGAGTGACACATCGCCAAAGTGGCTCTCGCTCGCACATGGCGCCGGAGAGGACGGTTACGCGGTGACGCGCGCGCACGTGTCACCGCCCGATTCACTTGCTGAATACGTCTCTACGTTTTTATTTTAATTCGTATTCGATAGCTCCTTGAGAAATCGCGCAAAAAAAGTGTTACATTTCACACGACCGCTCCAAAAAACCCTCTTCCAAAATAATCACTCCTCAACCGTTGAATAAACGAACTTGACAACTTTATTTGTGTCGCACGAGCAGTGCCCGATCACACCTCGTCACCACTGCCCTATGACATCTTTCAACGCATCGCGCGGCGCTTTCAGACGCGCGTTCTGCAGCCGTCTGGAACACTCTCCATCCGCTGTGGAGCTACGCACTTCTAAATAATCTAGATTGAAAGCCAAATTTCTTTAGAACTGCTTTTTATTTCTAGTTTGTTGTCCTTTCCCCCGCACCTACGATTACCACGGTCGGTAACGAAAGATGTTCAACATACATACATGTATATTCTTGGTTCTTTCGGTAAAGTCACGTGACCTTACCGAAAGAACCAAGAATATGAATCCCTGCAGTCACGAAAGCTTTAAATCAAAATATACATACGTAGTTATATTTCGCCAGTTGCTATTAAAACGCCATACAAGGGAGAAAGTAACAGTGAAGAAGGTCAATTTCGCTTAGCTGGGAAGTCAGCGCATAGACTTCTCAAAGCTGCTCTGATCAAAAGCACTGGCAACCTAAAACTAAAAACTAAACAATTTTTATTTTGTATTTTACCAGGCAAGGCCCACTGAGCTATAAATTAATTTTTCAGATGCGATCTGGCCATAAATGACAGCTTAACGAAGTGGCTTATCACCACGTGGAAAACTATAACAGCCAAATACTATGATCGCGTGATGTTGATTCTAAATGCGGAGAAGAAAAACCGAAGGACCCGGACAAAAATCCACGCGACCACGGTAGAGCGAGACACGCAAACTCTAAATATACAGGAATCGTCAGGGTCGGGATCAAACCCACGACCTCCTTGCATACCAGGCGAGGTAGTCAACGTCTCCTCGCCACCGTGACGCCACGCGACATGTGTGCAGCCGGGGCGCGTACGTCTCGCTCGCACGCACGCGCGCGGGATCCCTTGCAGAGTCAGCACCACAAATCGTTGCCCGTGTAGCTTCGAACGGCCGATGGTCAGTCACGTAAAACATCATGAGATGTACGCATGTACTTTGGGTTCTTCTTTTCGCACCTAACGTGGCAAAACGTGCTGATCGGAGGTTGGGGGGGGGGGGGGGGGAAGGACAACAAACTGTACACAAAAATCCCTCAAAATAACCTATCCGAATCAGAATAATTATGGTAGATATTCTATGTAAAGTGGTTTATGAAAATGGGCGCAGGCTCTCCTAGCTGCCTGGAAGAGCCCTCAGAGGCTGCCAGACTGATGAGCGTCAGCTTCCCTTCACTTTCGATGGCAAATTGAGAGGCGCTGGACATGGGAACATACGTACCGTCATAAGCCGCTCGCAAAAAAAAAAAAAACTTCACGTGGCCAGGCCCTAGCTAAAAATCAGTGCATAAAATATCTTCAGTGATAAGATAATCTCTCTTAGCTTCCCGATGTTACGTCGGTATTAAGGGGAAATTTCACTTCAGAAATTTTATGCAACTGGCTAAAGGCACCGCATGAAGGCAGCGGCTGGTCGCATATAAACCCCCTTGAGTGATTTTTCTTTTTAGCCTAACAATGTTTTAAATGACAAAGAGAGAGAGGGGGGGGGGGATATCTTCACAGTATTCTATGCAACCAGGCAGGCCACCCAGCCTCAAATTTTACATCAAATCCCTTAACTGCCAGCCAGCCAAACGAGCTGGTAGCCAGCTGGGCAAACGAAGCAACCAATCATCCAGCTGGAGAGCGAGCCAGCCTACCCAGTGTGCCAAAGCCATCGAATCGCTCCACTTTTGAGAATGCCCTTTAATCATTGGCAAGCGACACTCCTCCGCCTCCTCCTCCCGACGCCGTTGTCTGCCTCAAACCACCTGCACGTGAAATCGTAGCTGCCGCTCTGCGCCAACACAAAGCGGCCGCACGAACGCGAAAATTCGAAGACGACGAAGACTCGGTAGCCCGGCCCTGCATTCGAACCCAGGATCTCAGCCGGCCAACGAGCCGATCAAGCCGGTCGGAGCGCGCGACGTTGCACCGACCTGTACTTCATGCTGCTGTGCTTCCCCGTCCACTCTCGGGGCGGCCCGGCACCGTGACCCCCGCCGCCCCCCGTGCCAGCGGGGAAGGCGGACGTCACGCTGCGCGCCACCATCGCGATGGCGCGGAACTTGGTGCGTGCGCCGTTTCCCAGGCCGGGGCCCGGGCTGTTCTGCGCCGTCTGACGCCGCTCATCGCCGCTCGAGGGCCCGCCGGCGCCCCGGCCCTTCATGGCGTGCTCCGTGCACGCGATGGACACCTGCATCTTCTTGCCGTCCCTCTCCGAGGCTTTGTTGAAACGCTTCCGACGCTCGTGCCCCACGCAGACCCACCGCAAGGTTTTAGCGCAGTCCGCACGGTCCAAGCCGATCTCCCGGTCCGTGCCGATGGTCCGACGATGGCCGATTCAGCAGTTGACGGCTCCGACCGGCTGATGCATGCGCGTTGAACTTCTTTCGCACCGCACGTGGCTAACCCTGATAATCGGAGGCGCGGGCGCAGGGCAACAATCTAGTCCGATGCCGAGGCCTGGTGGAGTTTACTCAGGGCCGGAATGCCCGGCGAGTTGGAGAGTGGTTGCCGCTGTGTGTGTTGTCGATCAGAGGTGTCTGTGTCCCTCCGCGCCAGGTCTCCGTGGTCTTGCCGAGGCCTGCTTGAAATTTGTCTCGAAGCCGTCTTGCGTTGTCAATGAACGATCTCCGGGTGATTAGTTTTGATATTTATTTTCTGACAGGGCTTCCACAATTGCGTCTTCTTAACACGATCATGGTGGTTCCCCCCCCCACCCCTCCCCCTCTCCGCAATATTTAGCAACTGAAATGTTTACGAATTCAATTACATCCAGCTCTCCATTGAAAGTCACTCTTTCAACATTTGTAATACCAACCTATTTCATATCATCCCATTGCACCGGCTTTGCTTTCTGTCAGTGCTTCGTCAAGAGATGCTCTCAACATGGACCTCGAATGCTTCCGAATGTTTTTTTGTTTTCAATCCTCGCATTTCATTGTTTCCTGGAAGCAAATGCCTCTCCAGCCCTGTCAGACCGAGTATCCTCCGGCCAAATTCCGCCAACTAAAAATAGCAACAACTATAATATTTCTGTGCGTTAGGGAAACGCCTCCCACACGGCACATTTTACGCACGGCCCTTGTACAATTCCAAACGCATTTATTGTTCGCTATTGAATGTTGTGAAATCTTCCAGCAATGGTGAAGACAATGCGAGTGATCGCTCGGCCGAATGACAACGCGGCATCGGCAACAGACACAAACGCACGATTCGTAAGGCAAATGTATAACAAGAAGAAAAGAAAAAATCACGAAACTTTGCGCCCTCGGCTTTTCCGTGCGATTCACTTGCCTTGGTCAGACGCAGACATCCCCAACTGTTAAAGAGGCCATCGGAGTGCGAGAACAAAAGCAAACTTTGACAGCCGTCCCGCTGCGAGTTTCAGAAAAAAAAGCGCGGCTCCTGCACTCATTCATCCAAAGCTTGCGCCCCCTCGACCGGCATCGTTCGAAGGCGTTCGCTGAAAAAAAAAAACGGCGTGGGTCCGACACGGGCGCACACTACGAAGAGAACGGCTTCCCCTCCTCTCCCCTCCTCCACGTACAGCCCCAACAGACTGCTGGGGTAAGTGCCGTTAGCGGGTGGCAGCACCGATGAAGGCCGACACGGCGCACGAGCGCACGCGCACCACAACTACCGCTCTTCTCAGGGTCCAGCAGAATCCTGACCACGCACGCGTGCACCGCTCGGCAGGCGGTGGGGTGGGAGCATTTATAGGGAGAGACGGCCCCACGGACGAGTGATAGGGCGCCAGCACTCTCCCTCCCTCCACCACCCCCCCACTCCACACTAAACCCCCACCCCCCAGGACCACCAGGGTATTAATGTGCACGAGTCCCCACCTCCTCCTCCCCTTGCCCGCTCGCCACTCCCCCTGTAAACCCAGCCCCCCCCCCACCCAAACCCCACCGCACATCAGCACCCATTCAATCCGACCCCCGACAAATCCCCGTCTCTCGCTCTCCCCCTCTCCCTCGCCCTCCCCATTCGCTCTCTCGGGCGGCACGCGCAGTCCGCGTGCTTCCCATTGCCTCTGATCGCGCTCCACAGGCGAGCGCCTCAAGCCATCCCTCCTCGCACGCATTACGCAATAATTGTCCTAATGAGCTCCGTTAACGCCATGTTCACAACTACTGCAGCTCGCCGTGTCTGTCGGTGCAAATTGCGGGCACGCGTCTCGCCACGCCGCAGCTTTAAGGGGCCGTCCATAAATGACGTCACGCGATTTTTGACGATTTTTGACCCCCCCCCCCTTCGTCACACGGCGTCACAAAAAGTCAGACCCCCCCCCCCTCAAATATGACGTCACAAAGCTCTGCCCCCCCCCCCTGTTGTAATGGGGACCGTTGTAACGTGGACAGTTGTAACGGGGACCGTTGTAAAGCGGGCCATTGTAACAGGGACCGTTGTAACGGGGACCGTTGTAACGCGCACCGTTGTAACGGGGACCATTGTAACGTGGACCGTTGTAACGTGGACTGTTGTAACGTGGACCGTTGTAACGGGGACCGTTGTAACGCGCACCGTTGTAACGGGGACCGTTGTAACGTGGACCTTTGTAACGTGGACTGTTGTAACGTGGACCGTTGTAACGGGGACCGTTGTAACGGGGACCGTTGTAACGCGCACCGTTGTAACGTGGACCGTTGTAAAGCGGGCCATTGTAACGGGGACCGTTGTAACGCGGTTTCTGAGCTATCCATGACGAACTACTTTCTTGAGCCGCGCGTGCTGAACGGCACAGCGATACAGTACGCGGAATCATACAGGAACGCAGCGGCAAATACCCTCGGTGATGTGTCCATCTTACTGTGTGTGCGTAGCGGTTACATCGTATCTCGCCAACGACTTTATCCTTGCAATTTATTTTCACGGGGAAATTGTTTTCACTTAACACTGGCGCCTGGGTACCTTGGGTCTGGGCTGCAGACTTTCCCCCCATTGTCCCGCCTTGATGACCTAACGACGTAGCGTCGTGCAGCATCAAAGTGCCGCAGGTGTCTGTTTGATGAGGTCCCGTTGTTTGTCGTCGCGATGGACCCCGAGAAGAATCAGAGGGCAAGAGGTCCGCCTTGTGTCGCCCCGCTCCCGATCCTTGCCTTGACTGAAGTCCTGCTCACTGGAGGCCGCGTGCTTGCTGACTCAGCCCACGGACTTGCAGTGGAGTGGCTTGACTTGGCCCTGCCACTTGCAGTGGAGTGGCTTAACTTGGCCCTGCCACTTACAGTGGAGTGGCTTGACTTGGCCCAGACACTTACAGTGGAGTGGCTTGACTTGGCCCCGTAAGCAAGTTTGCTCTTTCTTGGAGTGACCGCCTCCTTGAATGTGAGCGCAGTCTCTTCAGCACTGTCGCGGGCATGTCCCGTGTGTGCTGGATTGAACGCCTCAGCTGGCGTGTAGAGGTCTCGGCCATCGGTGGAGGCCTCGTTTTCAGAGAGCCGCTGTTGCCCAACAAGCGTGAGTGGTTGGTTGTTCTCCCTTCCACTCTCGTGCCTCTCTGCCTCTCTGCTGTGCTTTCGCCTCTCATCCAGTCCCCCCCCCCCGCCGCCGCCTTCCTTTGCAGTTGCAGCATCGTCACGGTTAGCCCGCGACCCGTGCAGGATTACAGCACAGTCCGTGTTTTCTGGTCTTCTTCTTCTAAGACCGAGACAGGAAGACTTCTTCACAATTCCGGCAAATCGCCTGATGAGGCTTGTTGTTGTAATCGCCCACGAATTGTAGTACTCGAAGTGCAAATGTTGTGGGTTTGCTCTCCAACACACCGGTGTGCTGTACTAATAGCTCATTGGCACGTTTTGTTTAGGTGACAAACCTTACTAATTGGCTGTGTCGGGTGGTGGCGGGTTTAACGACACATGTATATACTTATTCTTAGCTCTTTCGGTAAAGTCACGTTGAAGGGAAACAATAAAATAATAATATATATAAAACAATAAAAATTCTCACGACGTTTCGACCATAACACAAACGGTCGTCATCAGGTGTGTCGGTTTGCATAAATTTATTTATTTTTAAACGGCGTATTTATTTATTTATAAAAAAACGTCAGCGCCACGCGCAGCGATTTGGCAGTTTATTTGAATAAACACAAGATCCAGGTCCGTTTCAACACATTACATAAAATCCGTGATCTGATTCCGTCTGTAAAAGATGTGATTCCGGACATACAGTACCCTGGTGTCTACAAACTAAGTTGCCTCTGTAGTAGTAGTTACATTGGAGAAACCAAACGCCATGTCTCGGACCGCATTCGTGAACACAAAGCAGACCTTAAACACGGTAGGACCAACACCTCGGCCGTGGCAGATCATTGTTATAATTCAGTGGGCTCACATGACATTGACTTCTCCAAGACAGAGGTTCTTTGTAAGCCATCTGGCTACCATGAGAGATTCGTTCATGAGGCTATCCACATATACAAGCACAGAGACAATTTCAACCGAGAAGATGGATTCTGGCTTAGCAATCATTGGAAAGATTTGATAAACCATTTCAGGTCTTAATTGATTGTTCACGCTTACGGTGGCTTTCAGACAGCATACATTAATTTTTCGTCTCCCCCCTCCTCTTTTCAGAACATAAATGGACTATTCCTTCTAAATAAACTGCCAAATCGCTGTGCGTGGAGCTGACGTTTTTAAAATAAATAAATAAACACACCGTTTGAAAATAAATAAATTTATGCAAACCGACACACCTGATGACGACCGTTTGTGTTATGGTCGAAACGTCGTGAGAATTTTTATTGTTTTATATATATTGTATTGTTTCCCTTCAACGTGACTTTACCGAAAGAGCTAAGAATATGAATTACTGCAGGCACGAACGCTTTAAATCAAAATGTATATACTTACGTGATCTAACCCAAAAAAAACGTGTATTATGGATGATATTGGTCGCGACAGCCCACGTGTTAAACGGTATACAAGGTGTGCCCCTTGATGTGTCTACACAGATGAATAAAACATCCTGAGAGGCACAACGTGAAAGAATGATAGTTGCGTTACGTCATCTTACGGGGAGTGTTTCCTGACGCAGGGTGGTGCACCGCTCGCTGTCAGCAGCTGCTAATGGTAAAACAAACAAACAAAAGTGTTTCGCTGTGTTTTCCTTGTGAGGGATTGTCACCGCACGAGAAGTTGACAGGCAGGATGAACAAAATGCATGACTAACCCTCAAGCCTTGTGGGGCTGGTATGATGCCCTCGAGGGAGTGTGTAAATGTGCGAGCGTTGAGGCATTGGGACCGCGATGGTATGGGCTTCAGCTAACGCTGCAGATTTCATTGCCAGGTGCAATTACTTTGCGGGGCTCCCAGCGCGCTGTATCTCTTTCTTCAGGGAACATTCGCCGTTGAGACAAGAACAAGCGAAACATTGACTCCTCAAAATGAATATTCATTACGCCGGAGTGTCGGAAACCTTTTTTGAGTACAAGGTTTTAATTAAAGGGGATTAACCAAGCACGCCGAAGAGGAATAGGTGTTTGAAATTACACGCACAGAAAGAAAAAAAAATCCAAACGCCACGCACACCCGCAAAGACAAAGACGCCCCGTGTAGCCTGCGTGACCTGTCGGGGCAAGTGTCGTAAGCGTGCACCGAATGAAGGCCGGCACTGTGGCACACGAGGTGGTGGGTGGTCAGCACCACGACGGGCCGCCTTTGCCTCCCCAGCGGCGATGTTTACATATCGCACCGGGTACTCGTTTGAGACTGAGACGACCTAGAGGAGGCACAGAACCGATGTTGGCCGTGATGCGGGAATCGAACTCAGGTGGCTGGTTTCGCCCCAACCAAATGTTGGGGCAAGTTAGCGAGCACCTATTAAGGCCGAGTGAGTGACCAAGCACCACGCCGGGCGAAAAGTTGTGTGATGATATCACGCAACTATCATTCTACTTGTGTAGACGCACATCACACGCGCGCGCACACACCACACACATTCATTGTGCACGTCTTATGCGTAAGCTCGTCATTACAGACTCGACCCACGCAGAGAGGCGGGGTGGGGGGGCGATACGCAGATCTCAGAGTGACCGAGCTGGAGTGATGGCTCGTGAATAAGATAACGAGGGATATTGCATTCAAGCAGCCCGAGGATGCACTTCATGCGGAAGTGTGTTCATATCGCAAGAGGGGCAGTCTCAATGAAGCGGGGCTACCGCAGGACACTTCACGATGGGTTGAGCATATTTACCGTCTCGTATCAGTGACGGCACGTGGCCAGTGCATTGCTGAGCCATACTTCACCAGACTGGTCAGTGCGGGTTGGTGAGGTAGGGGAACGGGGGGGGGGGGGTGACGACTGATTGCGTTGTTGCTCGCCGCAGACGATAGCCACGGCCGGGAATCAAACTCGTGTGAAACCACCGTGTCACGTCTCCACCCAGAGTTGAGGACATTTGGAAATAATTTCATCCCAAGCGATGACATTGCAGGACCACGGGGGATGGTTAATTTGATTAATTATGGCTGCTGATGATGAAGATGATGATGATGAAGTCCCAAACGAGACTTTCGCTCTGTGTCACAGGCTGTAATGGCATTGCCGTAGAATCGACCACAGATGACGAAGCGCAACCGTGCGCTCGATTTATTTAATAAATTTACCGCATCCTCTGGATTATAATGACACGATCCGGAAATTAGGCCGCACCGCATCCGTGTGCCCCATGTCAGGTCGCGCAAATCTGGTCACACACGCACACTGGTACCGGAAGAGAAGGCGCTCCACCAACTCTTTCTTGATATTGAAC